ATGTTTGTGCATCTTCTTAAACGCTTCTAACATTCCTACACTTATAGAATAGCGGAAGGGGGTAAGACAATATCATAGCAGAAAGGCAGTTCACATGCCAAATTATAAACATGCAGGAAGTTTTGAATGGTAAGAAAACAAAAAAAACTCAGCAACCGCAATAATGTTGACCCAGTAGGAAAAATGGCATTGCAATTTTACACTTATCAGATCAAATTTGACCCGGATTTGCCCATTTAAACTGCGCGGGCAAACCGAGTCTATAAATATTTGTTTTCCCAGATTGGTACAATATTTTTTTGATTTTCTGTAAAGTTTGATCTCCATATATCAATTAGCGTGTGTTTGGTAGCTGTTTGTTTACGACGAGAAAAGTTTATATGGCGATTTTTATATACATATAATATATTGGGTCAATGGACTCATTTCATTTTCGAAATCGGCTGAAATTTGAACTTGACAGTGAAGGAGATAGGAAAAGAAGGAGAAATCGGGGAAAATTCCTACCGGGGCCCAACTTTGTTTTATAGAATTTTTTATCCATACATATATACAATAAACAGTGTGCTTTACTATTTTATATATATAATTTTTTTTTTAACAGCCCAGTTACAGTTTTTATATAAATATCAGCTGTTTCTTCAGGCTAAAGAGAAAGGCTGGCATATGCTATCTAGTAATAATATCTGTTGCAGGAAGCATTTACGTTTTAGTAAACAATTTAAATAACATTTGTATCTTGTATACCAATACATATATATGTGTATGTACATAGATAAGTTTTCGTAGCACTTGTTCATGTTTAAAAACTAAACTTAACAAAATTGCATATAAATTTTGATTTCACAATACGTTTTACCGCCTGGGACACTACCCAATCTAATATTTTCGTAAGTATACAAATGTGCATTTAGTCATGTACAAGCCAATCGTGAAAATCAAATAGCTTTGACGATTACACTCTTTACACTCATGGAAATGTGATCGACCATTGCGCTCTTACATATAACAACGTATTGGCGCACTGAAATACGATTCTGCGATTCGTCTACCCTTAAGTATCTGCAACGCATGCTACACAGCGAGCGGTCAGCCATTGCAATGCGCTGATTGGTCGAACGGCAACTAAAGCCAATTGATGGCTAAATTGGGTATAAAAAGGCAATCATCGTTTTGTGGGCACAATTAAGGGCACAGACTTCGCTAGAGTTAGACACGCGTTGTGTAAACAGTGAAATCAACTATTAGCAACCAGCAATACGCGCTAACGACATATATGCAGGCATATGTTTCGTGTGTGTCAAATAATAGTTTTCGAAATTGTTGAGAAGTGTTGACAGCTTACTACAGCTAGAGAAGAATACTAGTGTTTTTTTTTATTGAATCGACTTAATTCCTTTAATTAAAGCGCTTTGGTGACATGAATTAAAACTCTGAAAGCGGGATCGCTGCAAAAATGTGCATATCTAAATAAAGTGAAAAAGGTTGCGCCGATCTGTATGTATAAGGAATGGGGTACAAAGACTTTGAATGACCGAACGTCTGAATAATCAATTGCGATCGTTCTGCGATAAATGCAATTAATTAATTTACAACAATTTGATTTTGTGGTCGTCAAAAACGTTGGAGTGTTTAATGTAGCGCCACAGCTATCAATTGCTTACAGTTATATTAATTGGTTTTGATTTAATTTGCACGCGCACATTGATTAGTCCCATTTGGATTACTTATATAGCGAATATAAACATGCGCGTATATGCCTAAATGAATGATCCTATATCTAAGGCGAAATCGCACCATCAAAAGCACTCCAAATTACTGAAGAAATTGAATTAAACCAACATTCTTGAGCGAACCTGTAAACATATATAAATACCGATATATTCATATGTATACATGACAACGGCCGTAAACTTTGATAAGTCAAAAGATTTTAAGTGAACTCAAATAACGACGGCTTGAAGGCTAGAAAAAAGTACGCGACCAATACATAACTTATCCATACGCTCATACGCTTCCATTTTTGCATTACTGATGTTAGACACAAACTATTGCACCAGCGCCGAAGTTGTGAGTGATTTTCAAGTAAATATGGAGCACACCACCTTCGATGATCAAATTTTTAACGATTTCTCAGGTCCGCTTAGCCCTTTGGGCGCCAAGCCGCTAGCACAAAATGTCAACGGCGTTAACTCCACTGCGGCACATGGTGTGCATCCTGTCATGCTAGGCCTACCGCCAAACTCAGTACTACAACACAATAGTAGCGGCGAAATGTGTAACCAACGGTTACCCGACTGTAATACACTACTGCCTGGAGGTTCGCCAAAGCTAGATCCTTATAAAACGCCTGACTATGGTCAAAAATTGGAATACAATTCAGTAAATAAAATGGGCTGCTATTCGCCCACTCAGAAATATGAATACATCACAACTGTTGTGCCCAATGGCAATAACCAGCACAAGCTCGATCATCATTCAGCACATTCACAACAATACTCGGCCACACCGCCCCCAGCACCAGCCAGCGCTGGCGTCGCCAGTCCTAATGGCCTGATGCATCACAAGCAACTGCACAATCACCACCAAACGCCTATGCTAGGTGACTATCACACACACATGTCAGTCGGCAGCGGCAAAATCGATTACTCGCCAAATTCTGTGGCAGCAGCTGCCAAGTTGGAGTATGAGCAGCACATGCAGCAGTTGTACGGCTCTAGCCCCCATCACGCCCCACATGGCCATGAAAGCAACGTCGGCACAGTCGCACTCAATGGTAATGAAGCTGTGCAACAAGCAAATGGCCTAATCTCCGGCAGCGTGGCGCACACTGGCAACAGCGATAGTGTCCTAATTAATTCCAACAGTGGTCCGACAAGTGTGGTGGGCATTACTATAACTGCAAATAATCAAACATCATCAGGCAACAATAACAAGCACAAGAAAGCAGATGAGATGTGTCAAATGGCATCATTAAGTTCTAATGGTGGCGAGGTGAATTCAAATAGTAGCGGCGGCAGTGGAACCAACGGCAACTCCAACGGTGCTCAATCCTCGACACCGGCGGCAAAAAACAAAAATGAGAAAAAGAAGAGCGACCCCAATGGGATCAAGAAAAAGAAAACTCGGTAAGCAATGAAATTAATAATAAATATCATTATTGCCAATTGTTGGTTATGAGAAATCCATGCGTTTATCTAACGTTTTAATACCAAACTTACCCGCACAGTGGGCGGTGCTTATTACTTTTTAATTAGTACACATCATTACATATATCGTATACAGATAGAGTTTATTACTATGTGTTTATTTTTTTATGAACAGCTTGTGAATATGGTATATATTATATTACATATACAAATTTACATACAAGTGAAATGTGATAGGATTTTCATGGATGAAACCAACCACTGAATAATACAGATAATTCAAAGCATATATTCAGTTATATTGATATAGCTTGAGCTGAATAATTATAGCATTAAACAATAAATTTCTAAAAACATATCAACATTTAAGACCTCTTCAACTGCTGACTGGCTTAAATCACAGATCTGATGAACATAAATAATTTAATTTTTGCCATGAAATATTCTTTAGCTGACGTTGGTTCGTTCAGCTTAAAGCTTATAGGTTCTCTCCATTTACCGAATAACATGAAGCAACACAGGAGTTCAGTGTCATATTTCTACATGAAATGAACAAAATACTATAAATTTAGAAATAATATTTTCAAATAAAAAAGTGTTCCAAGGTTATGTTTAATCGGTCAGTTTAGATGGCAGTTATATACTATACTGGTTCTACCTGAACAATCAACAACTGTTGATCATTTATATATACATTTTATATGGTCTGAGACGTTTTCTTCTGGATGTTAAAAACTTGGTTGCAAACTTAATATAACCCGCTCAGGGTATAAAAAACGATTATTATTTCACAAAAAAAAACACTTGGAGAAAAACAACACTTCTTAGGCAGAGCATCTTTCGACATCCACTAATATTTCAAAATACATAGACACAATATATTTAAGCTGAAAATGTAAGAGAAATATAAAACTTTTCGAATTGGCAAAATTTAAATTATATCTCTCGATTCTTTGCTTTCTGTTCACTTTTAGAACCACATTTACTGCCTATCAGCTGGAAGAGCTAGAGCGGGCTTTCGAGCGAGCTCCCTACCCCGATGTGTTCGCCCGAGAAGAACTCGCCATCAAATTAAATCTTAGTGAGTCGCGCGTGCAAGTTTGGTTTCAGAATCGTCGAGCTAAGTGGCGCAAACACGAGCCGCCACGTAAAACCGGCTACATTAAAACGAACACACCACCGACATCTTCGATGAACACGTCACTTGGGCCGCCATTCTCTTCTTTCCCGCAAACCACCACAGTCACGCCGCCTGGCAGCATGGACAGCTGGACAAGCTATCAACCGCCGTACGAATTGAGTCCTCAATTCAGTTTGTTATCACCGGCCGCCAGCCCATACGGCACCTACTCAAGCCAATACGGCACTTACGTACACGAAAGTCAACTATTCCCGATGCGTCACTTTGAATATGGTAGTCCGCCACGACTCGAAATGAACGGGCCCAACAGTGGTGCGGATGATGGCAGTGCTTCCCATAAAATTCACACGACCGAAAACGGCTATGGCCCATCTGCAATCGATGAGGCCACTGCAGCGGCGCATATGAGCGATCACAATGTCGTTGTGATGCATCATCAGGTCACAAGTAATGGCAAGTATTTAACCAATGAAGAGGCAAAATATGTAAGTGTGAGCGGTGTGACGCACACATTAAACCCGTTGGATCCGCATCAATCGAATGGTAGTTGTCACATAGCTGATACACAACATGATGGCAATATAGCTATAAAGCAACAACACTATGGTAGTATTGTAGCTGGATCGGTAAGTTCTCAAAGCATTGACGAACCGTGTCATGATGGCACCACAACTAGTATACAAACTGTGATCAAAAATGAAGATCACGGCAGTGGTTCAGGCCAGGGCGCCAATGTGACTCATAGTTATGTGTTGCCGCCTTTTTTGCACTAAAAGAAATGCTCTCACATCGAAAACAGCCACACCAACAACAGCAAACACACTGGTCACTTCCGCCAGCTGGACCAACGATGCACGACATTCCTAGCCGACGACATTATCAACGAAATACCAGCTATGCACGAAGCTGTTTTCAGCGACCAATTTGAACGCAATTGAGACAAACAAGTTCTAAAGCCAGCTTTCTTCAAGTGTATGGGAAATTTATGGTGATGAGCATTTCAAATTATATATACATATATTATATACACTTTAATTTGATAATTTCAGTTCCTTTTTACTTTTATATTATATGTTCAAGATGAATAATATGTACAAGTATGTATGTATAAAAATGTATACAAGTATATATACATAAAAATATATTGTTTTTTAGAATGTACATATGTATGAAGGAAGTAAAGTTAAGTTATTAAAATGTAGTGAATATACAAGCAACAGAATCCATAGTCTTGCCATTTTTTCATATAGCTAATATGGTAGTTGTTAATCGTCTAATAATTATCTATTAGGTAGTGGAACCTTAGAAATTAGTCGAAAAGGTGAGAAACAAAAATCCAAACTTTCAATTGACTTGGTTTTTGAAATATCACCTGTTGTAGCGCATTCGTATGTGCCTTATTTTTGTATTAAAAAATAGCTTAGAATATATTACTGATGTAATAATTCCAAACAACTCACAAGAATTGTTGTAGTTATATACACTATGCATATATGAAGCATACTTTATTTTAAATATTTAAACGCAAACTGTTGTGAAATTGACAATACTTTAATGTATATAATATAAATTGTACAATTTATAAAACGTTGAAACAATTTAGTTTTTCTACACACAATACTCGTATATTTAGAGAAATTAAGTTAAATTTTACTCGTTTTTTGGAATAATAATAATTACATTATTTTTTAAGTAATTTGTATGCCATAAATATTTAGGGTTTTTAAATATTATAAGAATTTTTAATAACAAAAAACATTCCTTTCGGTTAACACTTTTAATTTTAATTTGTTTGTACTTTCTAGTACTTTTCTAGTTTAATAAGGAACGAATAGATAAAAATTTATTTAGAACATTTTCACCAAAAATAAATAAAAAAAAAACATTGCTAAAATTGTATTTCTTTAACAAATAGTCACAGTTTATCCAAAGAAATGGTATTTCAATAATTTTAGCTGATAATATCTACGGAAACTACTCTCACTCAATTGCTGGAAAAATAGCAGAACTCATTGAAAGAAAACTGGTTTAGATAAGAAGAATATCTTTAGGTAGTTACTTTGCGGCAGCAACTACTCTGTAATTGACACAGAATGCAACAAAAATTATATAACCTTACATACGAGTATATATGCCTGTATTTGTATTATCATTTTTATATGCTTATATTTCAGTTTATGTGTCGTTATTAATATTCTTGTTATTCAAATCACTGCGTTGCAAAGTCTCCCAATCCGTACCGATAAAGAATGCATGTTTTTGTATTTGTTCATAATCTGCACGGTGCTCTGGCGTTTGTTGCAAGAGCGTTTCTATCAAATCCTTAGCACACTCCGATATTTCAATGTTTTCAGGATATTGTACAAAGCCGTACAAATCAATGCAGCCAGGATGTGCTAACTTGAAGGACTAGAAAACAAATGAATATATAAATTTTCTTGGACAAAAAATTTAATACATTATCTTACGATTCCTATTAGTAATTCGTAAAGTATAATACCATAACTCCACCAGTCCGATTTGAATGTGAGTGGGCGTTCAGGGGCAACGTAGTGACCATCTAATGCTGACTGACTGTAAGCCTTGTGCATATAATTATCGGAATCACTGAGCCCTTCATTTTGATAAAAATATGTTAGTAATAATTGACCTTTTGAACCTAGCAGCAAATTATCCATGTGAAGATCGCTAAAATAGAATATGCGAATATTATAAAAACATTTTTTTATACTCTTTAGGGTTTAATAGTTTTGTTCACCTAACGGTAAACGGTATCACCTAAAACTAATCGAGATAGATATCGAGTTATATATATATATATATAAATGATCAGGATGACGAGACGAGTTGAATTCCGCGTGACTGTCTGTCCGTCCGTCTGTCCGTGCAAGCGATAACTTGAGTAAAAATTGATATATCTTAATGAAACTTGATGCACATCTTCCTTGAGAGGTTGGTATTGCAGATGGGCGGATTCGCTCCATTGCCACGCCCTCAAAACCCCATTAAACGGACACCTTTAAAATGCCATAACTAAGCCGTGAATTAAGATACAAAACTGTAATTTAGTACCACGAATCGTAATAACAAGGGGCACCTATGGTTTGAAATTTTTTTTTAAGTGGGCGTGGCTCCGCCCCTAAATGGTTTAATGTATATAGCTTTCAAACCGCTTAGCTATATCAACCAAACTTGCTGAGAAGAATTAATTTTAACACCTCTTCAAACTCTGTGAAAATGGGTAAAATCTGATAATAATCACGCCCACTTCCCATACAACGGTTATGTTGAAAACTACTAATAGTACGATAGCTCACTGAATCAATGAGACACAAGCATTTAATTTCGCAACCAGAATGGTAGGGTAGGGCTTTTAGAATCTGGTGTAAATTTGGACAATGGGCGTGGCACCGCCCACCTTTAGATGCAATCCTATATCTCTGGAACTATTTGACCGATTTCAACTAAATTTGGTCTGTGAGGTTACACAAACATGCACTGCAAAAACGGGCGAAATCTGATGACAACAACGCCTACTTCCCATAAAACAAACGTTTAAATTCTGTCTGAATCTTTCACTTTACAGTATATAAATCAAACATCAATAAAGTTAAAAGCAGGTCAACACTTTCCTTAGCCGCCATATACCTAACATAAATCTTTTTGAACCTCCGGATCACTTTTTGCCACATTTATCGATCAATATGTAAGAAATCTTAATGAAATTCAGAAAGAAAGAAATCCCGACAATACGTTCTTTAGTTTGATATAAAGTTTTGCCAAAACCTGAAGGTGTTCCTCCGCCTTTGTTCCTTGCATGTTGCAAAAGTATAAAATGTTTGGTTACACCCGAACTTAGCCGTTTCTTGCTTGTTTTATATTATATTAATTACTTCTATATGTACATATGTATAAAACTGAACTACTTGAAAAAAGCTGAAACGATATTTCTAAAAACCACATTAACCATCCGATTGATATAGCTTATATTTAGATAACACGGTAGTTAAATTTCTTATGCTGTAGCGAAGCACTCTAGTTAACAGCTCCGGTGTAAATATTGTGGTTATTTTTAAATAGATAAAATCAAACAACATTCAAAATAAATATTAGAAATAATTAAAATTAATTTTAACAATAATTGAAAGCTCCTCTACATGGAAATATCTTAAAGAAAATTATACATTTTTTTTTACAACTCACCTCAATATGACACCTTTTCCATGCAAGCTGTGTATAGCAACCGCTAACTCCCGAGTCCATTGCTTTAAACTAGCTTCTGGAATTTTCGAGTGTTTAATAATACTTTTATTCATGAGCGGAGATGATTGGCATTCTAAATTGTGAAAGCATGTACTAGCCACTTTATCCGATTCCTTTCCTATGTCTTCCAATTGCTTTATCTGATTCAATGTTTTGGACACTGATTGTAGCAGTGCATGGGACGAGCGCACTAATTCTCTAAATTCCTCAGATTTTGAAGGCACTAAGAGTTCATCATTCGGTTTAGCTGAACTAGTATCTTCTACATAACCGTTATTGTCGCTACAAAAGCTTTCCGCCACAACTTGCGAAGCATTAGTGATATTTGATGTTTGAGAATCCACATCTTCCGGAAATAAAACAGAGAAATAATTACTTCCTCTCGACGCTACCGTCGGTGTATATGATCGCACATAGTCATACAGACGCCCACCTTCCGCATGCTTTAATAGCAAGAAGATTTTCTGTTCTGACTGGAAGAATGCCAATAGATTTACCATAAAAGGTACATGTTGTGGCAAAAAAACGGTTTGTGTAGGAACATTGCTGGATGGTTTTTCAATACCTTTCATCACATATGTTGATCGTGGTTCAGGTTCAGTGACGCAATAAACCTGCATTACACTCTCTCCTAGAATTTTCAAGACTTTATATTTGGCCAAGTGGTTCCATGGACGTTCGAGATATACAGAAAGTTTTCCATCAACTGTGCACTCTGTTACATCGATCGATAACTGAAAATTTCTTGTACCCTGGCAACCTCCCACTTTGGAATTATTAGTCAAAATTTTCTCATATATGTCGTCTGCTCGTGCAAGATATTTCGAAATTTTAGCTTTTGCAATGAATTTACGCTCATCATTAGTATCATCTAAAAAAAAATAAGGTTATTTTATGTATTTTCTTTTGTTTTTAATATTTAACTGTGAATTTAACCTTTAGATCCAATCAATAATACTTCAACGCCACGTTTATAACGCGCATGAGCCTCCTGAAATTCTAAATTTGCTTCAGCTTGAACTGCTTTACTAAATTCCAATGCTGCTTCATAAATATAGTCGCTGTCTTCACTTTCAATTGAAGCCATAGGTGTCAGGAAACGCTTGTAATCTTTGCAAGGCGTCTCCTCCAGGCCGGCATGATCGTTTAATATTGGTTTTCTCTCGTTTTCTAATTCTAATGGCAATGAGTTACTAACATTATCATATAAATATGGTTTTACGCCGAAAGTGTTCTGTTCTTTTGTATTTTCTGATTTTGTGTTAAAGGGATCAAGTGAGGCAGTGCTAACGTCTATATCATAAGGGTCGTAAAGTAAATCAAGTTTATCACATATTTCAGCTATCGCCCCTCCTTTAAGACCCTCTTCGGTATACAATTGATGCAATGGTGATGCCTTGGTTGTAGCAGTTAAGTTATTTAAACAACTGTTTACAACTCCTCCCACTACAGTTTGTTGTGCTTCGCTAAAGAACTGTGTAAATGCGTGACATTTGTAGAGCGCCGGGTGCTGAGCAGCGAAATCCAGTAGTTGCAATATGTATTCCTTTCGCCGGCATATAACGTTTGCGTCGAACCGTTTGAAAAAACTACAATCTGTAGGCTCAGGAAGTTGTCCTGGCAATTTGAGACTACGGTGACGACGTGATAACTCTCGATGTAAACGTTTTATATCATGAAAACGTTTCCAAATTGTTAAGCAGGTTAGAGCTTGAGGTAGAGTCCTTGGAAATACCTATTGAAAGGAAAAATATATTATATATCTAAAAGGTATAATATAAACTTTATTTAATAGTTACGATTGAAGTAATTTTGTATATAGTATAACCGGCTTTATGTGTTAGCGTGTCAGTAACTGTGAAGCTATGAATCCAACCACCAAGATTGGGAGTCATTTTATTGTATTATTTTCTTTATTTTTTAAAAAATACGTTTATCAACTTGGCATATTATTTATTCGTATAGATGAAATTTGAGCACTTTTTATAAACATATGTTACTGTTAGAGTGCTACCATACTTAAGTATTTAATAAAAACTTTGTAGACAACATCTTTACCGACAAGCATCAGGTGCAATCTAAGTTATTATTTTTTACTTTTCTCTTAAATTATTATATTAATATTTCTAAGAGATATTAATTTTGAATAACGTTGCTAAAATTTGGAAAAGAAAATTAATTAAAAAATATAAGTTCTTATATATTTTTGTACCATACTTTTCTAAAGAAAAACCAACACCAAAAGTCGCATAAAAAGCTTAAACTAACGTTAGTAAATTGTATGTTTTCCTTTTAAATAACCGTTATATATAGTTAATTTACATAACTTTCAAAGAAACTGTTATTGTTCCTTCAAACAGCTTTTCAAAGTTATTGACAGTTATTTAAGGATAACGAACTTTCGATCTGCAAAAGTGGGTTGAAGAAAACCTTTGTTTTGTTTTTTTAGTGCTTAGTAAGGTTTATCGTGTCTTTAGAAAATGTGAATGCTTAACTTTCCAAATACACACACCTTAAAATGGCGCATAATGGCGTTTCGTTCATTCAGCGTTAAGTCGCCATATTGGTTCTTGTTTTCGGAAAATGTTAAACGACGAGTAATTTTTTCGTTTTCTCTGCATTTTCGTAAGATTCATTTTCATAGCAGCGGTATAGCAAAAGACAAAAGCAGATTAAAATAAATTTGCCACAATAATAAATGTTGTAAACATTTTGCATTCGAATTTTGACGTTTTGTAACGCCAAGCCGTTAAGATTTATCAACAACTATCATAAATCATACAAGAAACGAGAGTGGAAGTGAGAAAAGTAAATCAATAAAATTTTTAAAATATAAATTTGGATAAATTTATAACAATACTCTATGGTAGATATTTATTATAGTTTAAACTGTATTGGAATTAATTAATGTGGTAGTTGTTTTTATTGTAAGAACTTTTGGTAGTGCTACCTCCAATATATCTATATGGCTATTGCAGTACAGTTTCTCGTACTTTGTATGAGTACACCGATTTAGTTAAGTTCTGTAAAGAAAGTGAATATATGTATAGGCACACAGTGGGGTATGATCGTTTCTGATTTTAATGTGCTTTTGGTAGAACTTTACTTTCGCTTTATTTTGAACACTACACTACGCTAAAATTTTTGTCCATGCATACAAAGTGAATTTGTAAATAACTCTTCGATTTTATAAGGAATGTCGGTGTATTTACTTTTCTGTGTATTTTATAGGTGTTGAAATTTCTGTTCTAATCTCGAAAGTTGCACCATTGCTATGGGTGAAATCAAGTCGGTAAAAGTGGACAACTGGGGAGTCTTTTTCCTTCAGAAACTACAAAATTTCTTCAACAAGACGGACTACTGTGATCTTACATTACAGTTTCGAGACAATTCCCAATTGAAGGTTCACCGCTTAGTTCTTAGTGCTTGCACAGATTATTTTAATGTACTGGAGCAAACATGCGAAATGGTAGACGATGCGCTCATCATGCCTAATGAATTACAAGCCGATGTTGTTGTACCCATTGTCAACTTCATGTACACGGGGACATTAGAATTTGAACTAAAGATGTACGGTAAGCTGTTACGAACAGCCAAGGATATGAATATGACAGTTTTACTTAAGTTGCTAGAAGCACATCGTCGTACAATGGAGGGTGTAAACCGCATGCAACGGGTATGTTTCGACATTCGTACTATTTTTACCAAAACAAACCAATGTAAAATAAATATTTACAGCCGCCTAGCCCAAAACCATTACGTCGTCGTGTGCCTGTGGCTGGAATTTTGCCTTCACAGCAACCCGGCGTTCAACAACGTCGTATATTAACATCGCCAAATAGTGTTTCTGGTGTTCAGCGCCGCATTGCGACAAAATCGGTTAGTACAAATGCTTCGTCATCAACTCCTGCAACTGCACAAAGTCAATACCGCCAACAGATAGGGTCAACTTCTCTAATAAAAACAAATAATGGAAATAACTCTAATACAAGTCAGAGTCGAACACAATTTGCCAATCAATCCATGCAAGAATCACATCAAACTACTATTAAACAAGAGCCAGAAGAGCCATCAGTGACGTCTCCATTTGAACAGCTACGTAAAGGTTATAACAATAATAAACGACCTGCCAGCAATACTCTGATATCACCGCCAACAAAAAAATTAAATATTGAAGATGTAAAAGAATTTGCCGAACAACAGCGAATGAGAAAACAGATTGCTGCGGAATACGGTGATGATCAAGGAGAGTATGAAAACAGTATGATGGAAGATGACATACATAATGATGACGATGACGACGATTTAGCGACTTCATCTGCCACAGCTACATCAGCTGCCATGCAACCATCCACATCGCGTCAAACGCAATTGAAACATGGTGCCACCACCATCACCATTAACCAAAATGAAAAGCCGCCTACTATTGTGGTCAAGGATAGCTCCAATTCCAAAATGAATCATGCTAAAATAATCAAAGAAGTACTGCGTCAGTATCCGCATTTAGTAAAGAGTAATAAAAATATAAAGTTGAAGATAATGCCTAGCTCTGGTGACCAACCACAAAAGATTATTGTAAAGAAAGAGCAATTGGAAAGCATTACTAGTAATGCACAAAGTCAGTCTTCGTCACCATCGCAATCAGTGCTGCGAGGACAAGCTTCATCACAAACTTTATTGAAACCAATGGAGAAGTCTCAAAATAATGTGAATCAAACAGTCTCGCAGCAGCCAGCACTACCGAAAGTATCACCACCAACCACATCAGCAAAACCTATCAATGTGAGTGTTGGCAACGTCGCAATGTCATCCGCAGCTCCCGCACAAAAACGCCGGATAGATAGTAAAACGATGCATGCATTAATTGCATTAGGCGCAGAAAACACCACTGGTCCTTGGTTGTGTCTACGTTGTGGAGTTAATGGTCGTCCAATAAGTATTCCATCATATCGCGGTTTTCGTCGCCATTTGATCAACACACACAAAGAACAAATCGATCCAGCTCTATGTGAGCATTGTGGCTGTCGTTCAAGCACTAAACGTGAACTACATTTTCACATGGAAGTTGAGCATAAGGTAAAGACTACTTCGTACACTTTCCCGCAATGCTTGTTGTGTTCTAACGCATTTTTAGACACAAACGCACTAAATAAACATATGGTTGAAGCACATCCAGATGAAAATAAACAGCAATGCATTTATTGTAATAAAATATTTGCACGTGAGCTACAATTATATAACCACATGAAAACCTACCACAAAAAGCAGGCTTTAGAAGACGGCATTATAGATTATTCAGATGAAGAATTTTCGGAATCACAAGACGCCGGTGAAGTTATAAGAGCACCAGACATTACATCAAAAGAAAAGAAGGAGTCAAAGATTAAAATAATCTCCGATATTAGTTTACCCAGCGCCGGAACAATTATCAATATGGAGAGCAGTAACATGTCTTCTGGCATAAATGCACAAGTTGGAATTATAGGTGAGCAGCAAGAATTTATGGAAACAAATGAAAGCTCAGTTATAGCTTCCGAACCGAAATTCGTTACTGTTGATGGCAACGAAATGGTCTTGACAGATGAACAACGTCAGGAGATAATGGCTCAATTGAACCAAGATCATGGTACTGGTGGGGTCGTTATGGTATTGAATGAACCAACTGAGTATGCTGCGGAAACAACCGCCATAAGTGATCATCTCCCCAATTTGGAAAGCGGCAGTGGTGAAAAGGAACAGGTAACACAGGAACCGAACCTCGAAGTTGAACCAGAGCATGAAGATGAAGCAATGGATGAAGGAATTGGAAATGCAGCAGCTGAAAATTCAACTGCAGTTGAAGAATTCGACGACAGTCTAATTTATAGAGAACTCACTGATACACAGAACACGCATGATGAGGAAGCAGAAGGAACTTCAGACGTAATCAGTGCCACAGCAAGTAATGACGATAAAAGAAACACTTCCGGCGGGGGTGCATTAGACGAGAGCAAGGAATCAATAGAGAACTTAGAATGGGCTGAAAACTTGATCAGTGCCCACGAGATGGCTGACCAAGAAATAGAAGCTAAGAAACATGTAAAGGTACTTACTCGTACATACACGTATAGTTATATTTACAAATATAAAATTTGACTTATTTCGAAGTTTTTGTAGCTGAAAACTTTTCTTATATACATGTATATTTGTTCTCTATCAAACTAGTGAGTAATGGATAAATTTCATTTTATGATTTCTAATCTAATATTTCAGGAAAATAAAGATGCTGACGCAATAAACCAAAAGCTAAAAGAATTGACTGGCGACTGGTCAGAGGACGAAAACGATGAAGAGCAAGAAGTTGCTGCAGCTACTCCAAACTCAGAAGTAGACGCAACAGAAGAATCTTCAGCTGTTGTTGAAAATATATTGGAAGAAAAAAATAATCCCATTGAATCAAAGCAAAAGCAAACTATGGAAGAAAATGTTGAAGTTGCTGCAAATGTGGACAATAAATCCATGGAACAAGATACAGCCGACACAGAAAGTGATATCGCAGGTACACGTGAAGACAATGCAATTATTCAAGATGATAATCCCACATACACAAATGTGAACGTAGACGATGCCAAGGGAGATGAAGATGATTTAGATATGCTAATGAAAAATTTACATAAGGAGGACACAGATGCAACTGAAATAGAAGGCGAGGAAAAAGAGAACGAAGACCAAAAAATGGATGAAAGGCCTGTTGAGGATCTTGAAGTAGCAACACAAAATGAAGATATTGCGGCTTCTTCGAAAGACGCGACAGCGATCGAATCTGGCAACATATCACAAGAAGAAAGTAAAACAGATAACACTATTATTGCTGGTGTCGCCAGTGACGGTTCTCTTCAGCTTGATATGCTGGAAGAACTTAATATAAAAGAAGAATTCATTTCAGAAAGCTCTTCAGCAGAAGCTAAAGTAGCAAAAGCATCGAGCGTGGACCCTTCAGAACCTTCTACAACAGAGGTAAAATCAACTGAATCAATTGGAACCACTGAAGTAAACGAAGATACTGATGCAGATGGAGTTACTGAGGAGATGCCTGATAACAGAGTTGAACGTGATAAAGATAATAGTAAAACTGTAGAAGAAACCATAAAAGATGTTCTTCCAGAAACCAGTGAAGCTAACAAAGATAATGTTGAATCAATAAAAACGTCAGAACGCCTAAGCAGTCTTATTAGCGAATGGGGTGAAGATGAGGAGGAAGACGAGCAAACAGCAGCTCCTCCCGCAGCTCCGATCACAACAGAGGAAGAGGGAACACTATGAGATCTAGAGTTAATTGCAATGTAAGTTTTTAATCGGAATAAGAATGATGAAATATGCATATGTACTTTTAGATAAACATGCGTTGGCGCAATACAATACGCATATATAAATATTTACATAATAATTAAGCTGTTACATTATTTTATAACCACTAAATATGAAATAAAATCCGTGCTAACGTTGCTCTATAAATTAATTGAATATAACTTTATCCAAGATTTACTTCTGCCATAATTCGAGTTTGGCAAATGCATTCTTTTGTTTAAATTTGTTTAATTGATTTATTTGAGAGCAGAATGAAGAAGATTCAATCTTCAATAATTAATATTACAAATATTCTATAACTATTGTTTGTTTTATAAATATTTAATTTGCATCAAATGTATGGAAATTTAAAAAAAATCCGCAAATGGATTAATCTATTCTAATGTCTTGTTTTTTCATCAAAAATCAAAAATAAAAATCATGTAACTTAGAGTATTGTATATAAATTTATGAATCACAATAATATATTGCAATTAACAAATTTAATTATAAGTACATACCTAGCCATTCTTAAAAATGATATAAACAATAATAACAAAAAATAATTTTTGTTTATTCATCACGTCCTTGCGTATAAATACACAAGAAATTAATAATAAGGATTTTAGCTCAGTTTGCCCGAGATTAATTTTTAGAATTATTTACTAACATAGTCTATGAATATTTTAATTTAATTGACGGTTTTAGATAGTTTTGGTAATAGAGTGAATTTCCTTTTCATTTCCATTTACATAAATAAAATAACCACATATCCACAATCAAAACGGAAATTGTATACACGATTAAATGTAGCACGATGTATTAACTTATTTTCATAATTCTATTAAAAGCTCGAAGTGTGGTGAATCAGTTGTCAATATAACGTGAAAATAGCTGTTAAAAAGTCAGTTCTAAAAGAATATTTGTTGCAAGAATTAAAAAATAAATAGTGAGTGAAACACCAGTTTATAAGTTTATGACTACTGTTCATATTCATTTAATTTCGTTAAACAATGCGTGTAAAATAAATATATGAATATGTATTTATGCTACTATAATAAACACATACTTATAAAATCACAAACTTTTTATTGCCTAATAGCCAAAAAATAAATATTGGAGATTACCGTCAGAGATTGCATATAGTTGAAAATTCTCGCTAGCTATCGCCGTCTTAATCAAAATAAAATAAAATATATTATCTCATGTATCATAAAACATATTTTTTTAGTGTTTACCGTCAAGGAAATAGTTAATGACACACATTAGCGTGAAGCCACTGATAACCGCCAAAAACTGTCCAAAACCGGCTATTCTTCGTGCAGCGTTTTGATGCCAACGCGACTTTTCTCTTGGTATAACTTCGCAGACAGTTACATAAAAAAGCGTGCCACCAGCGAGCGCTTGCACAATCGGCAGTGCAGCAGTCGACCAACTCGATGGTATATCGGCTATAATCATACCTATGCCGATGCCACAAACAGCACCTAATGCAAACACCACAATGCCGATAAAATGTTGACGAAGCGTTGTTTGTGGATTTGAGCGAAACTCCAAACCTAAACAGAAGCCCATGACGAACTTATGGCATGCGACGGCGCCAAGCAGAAAAAGTACCTGAAATTAAACTTAGTATTTATTGACCCACTTTTTTCCAAGCTTTGATGGCATTTTATTCAAAAATTTTAAAGCGTTTTTCCCACAAGTCAAGTTATCAAAGTCAGTCCCCTCATACATTCAAAACTACTGCACCGATCGTTTTAAAGTTTTGAACACTATTTCTATATATAATTTACAAGCTAACACTGAAGATTTTTTGTTCGAATTCGTTAATATTTATCATTTCACAATAACAAGTTAACCGATTGTTTCGCAGTAAATCGCGTTTTTGCTTCAAAGTGTTCCCAAAAAGTGAAAATTTTAAATTTGGAAAAACAACCAGCGTTACTTGCGCAAAGCGATTATTCAACGATATTACTTGGATTTTTTGATTTGAGATGATGCAGCACCGAGTTATGAGGGGCATTGGAATCCAACTTTTTTCCCCGAGACACTCCGGAGTAGTTGCTGCCATTGCCGTATTTTTTAATATTTCTTCATGCAAATTCAACAGAATATTCTTCAAATGTCATACTATAATGTGCTATTGGTTTTGAAAAATGGATTTTAACTGTTTCATAAAAAAATAATAAAAATGGGTCTTGTTTTACACGAATTACCCCTACACCCCTTCTTAAAGGCTTCTGGCACACATGTTTATATAGATACATACGTAGGTATAAGCATAAGTGCGACGAATTTATTTCTATTTAAGTGCGGCAACATTAGATTAAAAGGTTAGCACTTCATGTGCTTTTAAAATGCTTAGGGTGAAAGCTTTAATTTTGTGTGCAAATGTAATTTTGTATGTATATAGACGCGTTTTGAGTGTATTTAGTTTCGTCTGTATTTCTCTAAATAGATTTTGCACTAATAAATAATTTATTCTAAAGATATTTGGCTTATCATTGCATATTAAATATTAGTTCGACAACTATAGAATTCAGTTAATTTAAGCGAAGGGAATATCTAGGCCAAATCTGTTGTTATAACAAAGTGATAACACTGGATATGTGTTAGTGACTAATACGCATGTCGTATAGTTTTATCTTAACACGAAATCTAATGGATAAATGTTTACTACATACCATGCCATCTGTACTTATGGAAATTACTTACAATTAAAGTATTAGATATAAGAGTGAAGCGGTAGGACAAAACCTATAATACCCCGTTAGCTTCTGGCATGCCTTTGTCAGAATCAGCCGTGCTGCTTGTTTGTCTTTATAGACAGACGGCCATAACTAATTCGACTCTGCTCGTCCCGTCTGTTCAGGGTATAATGAAATAAATTTATGAAGGAAAAAGTTTGGTGGAAATATACAAAAGAATTAAACATTAATCAATCATATCAAAGTTAGAACTAGCCAAGATTAATTTTGTATGGCAAGCCTCAAACTCTGCAAATGCACAAAGAAGCATGCATTTAATTCAGCTCTATATTTCCTATTAGTAAACGTTAATAGAGAAATATTGACAGACATATCGCTAAACTTTAAAGAAATGTACCTTTCTTGAAGAATTTTGAACTCCAATCGCCAGACCTTCGATAGCAGAATGTAGAGATAATGCTGCAAAAAGTCCTAAGGTACCAGTCAGAGATTGAACACATGGCTCTTCATGACTCGTATGACATATTCGCGCATTAGATTCCGCAATAACTGCTTCTTCTGCACAGTGTGATGTGTTATAATAGGAATGTTGGTGAGCTGACACATTATTCACATCAGAATTATTATGTTGACCTTCTCCATACCTACAATTATAAAAAAAGGTATACACAATTTTAAACTTTTAGTATAAACTTACTGGTTATCATAATGATCACGTCTATCACTCAAAAGCGGAGTTCTGTCCGTATCCAAATTACTATTACTGTGATTGTTGGTTCTAATGGAGTCAGTGGCAAAGGAATGTGTGTGCTGTATAGCTTCACCAAAGAAGTAATGTATGAATTCATCAATAAAATATATTAAAAAAAAACCTCCACAAATAGTTATTTCCGCAAAGTTTGAATTCATCTGTTTGCGTACTTCTGGCAAAATATGTACTAGGGCAGTAGACAATAGTATACCAGCTCCAAAGCACAGCAACAATGATATAGTCAGTGGAAAACGTCTTCGATTCTGCGCTGAAATAACGGCAGGAAGCATTCCAAACAATAAGCTGCCAAGTCCTAAACTACACATAGCCAATATCTTTTCACCATCTCCACGGTCTACGTTACCATTACTCGAACTCGACATTGCTTAAATACGCGTATTGCTAAAATCCTTTTAACAACGAAATTTTGTGAGATATTATACTAGATGCAGCAACGTTCAGCTACTACTGCTCATTTGCAGCGGAATAATGAGCGACCTAATCACTCCCGTTTAGTTGAAAACGAGAACAGAATAAACATTAATCGCTCTAATCTTATCACTACCTCGTCTTTTGATGTTTTGCTTATAAACATAAATAACTTAAATAATGAACATGTAAATAATATGCGAAAATTATCAAAAGGTAAACATAACATTGTCTATTGCAGAGTTGCTTTGGCGAGAGCTACTATATGTATTTATAGGTAGTAAATATTGTGACAATCATGGAACTCTAGAGTGTTACAAGGTAGACGATTTATCGAGAAATCCGTTACTATATGTTTGACTGAATTTCCTTTATATTATTTACTTAAAGTCATTATATATGAAATATAAAGTTTTATATTTAAAAAATAAAAGAACACATAATTAGTTAAGTATGAATTAATGTAATTTTCATTCTTGACTTCTCCGCAGCAACCCTAATCAATGACGTCAAAAATGAATTAATACTAAATTCATGTGTGGATTAATGTACATACATATATATATATACATATATTATATATAATATATAGTTTATAATATTGCATTTCGCTGCATTGCTGCTTTCTTATTTTGAAAGATGGAATAATCCGATACTATAGGGTATAAGGTGATTGAGTTTGCAAACTATATGTATATCTATTCATAAAAATTGTTTTTCGAGTAAATATGTTTTGATTTGATAAACATAAACACTTTCCTTTAATCAACAAAAATCGAATTATCGGCAAATGGTATGGATTTCGGGGACGGTGTAACTGTAAATCTTTGTACGTCCGTTGATTGCAGAAACGGTGATAACGGTCCAAAATTGACTATAGCACCTGGGTTACAACTAAAAGTACATTCCCAATCCGATGGTGATGTGAATTCTACTAGTAATGTACAGGTAACGTTATTGCATCCTCAAAGCCGCGAGATGCTGGCAGAAATGCAAAATAGTATTCAAAGTGGAGGAGAAAGCAATAATAGTAATGTCATGTTGGACACTAAAGAGTGCAATGACCAATCCTCATTTGAGAATAAAGAAAATATCCCAGATATTGTTTCATTAAAAAAAACCACTGATATTGCAGTATTAAGTACACCATCAACTGAACTTATGGGTCCAATGTTGAAATCCGCTATTGAATCGAAATGTGAACCTGATATTGCAAATGACCTTAAAAGGCAACAATCACCAACAAATTTACAACATCGAGAGTCCATTTCGTGTGGAATTGAAGAGTCTACTGAGGTGCTATTAGTTAACTCTTCAGAATGTGATGAAAAATATTTTGGAAGTGGTCGCACCTATTCAGGCACGGATTCTGATATTGAAGTTTTAATTTCGGAAGAGATAGTTGATTCCGATTGGTCAGCCGGTAACACGGCCACTGAAGATTTGGGGCAAACGCCTGATGAAAACAGCGGTGTTGTAAAAGCAATAAATGCCCCCCAGAGGTGTGCTAGAAAGCAAGTAAATACCCCTAAAAATGGCAAATCAGTGGCGGTTAAAGAATTAAACGATCAGGAAATTTCAGTAGGAAATAGCAGTTGCAGTTCACTAAGTAATAGTGAACAGGAGGGCAAAGATCAATTACTTAAAGTAATAGGCGAACAAGCTACTTATATACAAAGCTTGAAAAGTACGATTGCCCGTTACCGCGACACATATAAAACTCTACTAGAGCATGTGGATGCACTACGACTCGCATTAGATGTGAAAAATATCGAAGATGCGAATGTAAAAATGGATGTTAATGGCGTAGATAAACTTGGATCTCACAATATTATTAAGCATAATTAAATTTACAAACGTTTTATTATTTAGACTTCACATTCTCAAGAAATATTACTTTGTTTTACATGTACACATTCAAATATTGCCCTTAATGCAAATATTACGTGATAATTATTTTGTGAAAACTTTTAATCAAAGAAAATATATACAAGGCGTTTGCCCGAAAAATGAAATTGTTTTAACTCCCAAAGTACAAGGACCAAAATAGCTCACCGCATTGAATGTAGTGCCTTAATACCTAACATAAAGAAATTTTATTAAGTAAAAATGTTTCAACTCTTCAAAGTCTAATAAATGGTCCCATGGTATCAAAAGGATACTTAATACAATTAAGGATCCTAGTTAATATCCGTTACACTTGTCTATTTATTACATTGAGACATCACAAGATAACACAATTAGCTGTTATACTTAGTGAGCATCATTATTTACTTTAGATTAATATTTTAGAGTTTAAAATTCATTTTTCTGGTTTTAAACTTTTATTCTCGATTGATATAACATGTCTCCTACATATTTTTTGCATATATTTGCTACTATTTGACTTTTATCTTAAGCCGATGAAGTAATAACATCGGTATATAATTTGACCTTGCTTGCAATGCTCATATCAACATATTTGTCGCCAATAGACACGATTAAACCACCAATAATGCTAGGATCCACACGTGACGTGATTTTCAATTGTTGATTTCCCTTTAAGAATGACTGAAAGAAAAATATATCGTATAATATACAATAATAAACACATATCTTAATATTTTAATTACTCTAAGAGCAGATTCCAACTGTTTATTCTGGGATGAATCCAAGGGCTTTGCAGTTATAACTTCGCAAACAACTTCACCTCGGTGAGCAGCCATAATAGTTTTATATGCATTTATAACCGTGTCTATATTTTTCAACCGTCCATTATCAGCTAAAAGACCCAAAAGGTTGGCAGTCGCTGGGGCCATCTTCAGCTTATCTGCAGTCTCCTTAAGTGTGTTTGACATAAGCTTTTTGTTGATAATTGGATTGGTAACAGCCATACGCAGTGAAGCGTTGCTCTTTAAAGCTACTTGCAATGCATTCAAATCCTTTTCCACCTGATCCAACTGTTTCAATTTGGAGGCTGCTGAATAAAGAGATGTAGCATAGCGACCTTCAAGACCAAAAACTTGAACCGGAGGCTTTACAAATTGAGTTGTAGAACTGAGGGATCGGCTCTAAATGATGTCAAGTGAAAAAGAAGACAAAACTTACATAACCAAAAGTACATGCAGATTCTCAGATAAAATTTTGTATCGCATCTTGGAATAAAATTTTACAATACTATTAAATATACATATATATTTTAATGCCTATTTCAATTATTAAAATCATTCTATTATTCAACATACCAAAAGAGCAAGTTTATTAGCAGCCGCCATTCCGGAAAATCTGAACTTTTCACAAACGTCGCTGAATAAAATTATTAACAATGACAACCAGTGTCACCAACTTAATTTGCTACTCTTAGCAAAATTATGGTAACTCTACAATGACAGCATGACGAGTTTAAGAGATGGCTACACTAAAAGATATTAACCATATACGTATACCGGCAACAGTTAATATTTCGTATAGTATACAAAACAATTTAAAGCTCCATTAACATAAAATGCTTCGTAGAAAATAAATAAGCCGTTGGAAGGCAGGTTTCCAGCATCAAAGAAATTAATATTATACAAAAATCTAATTTAACATTAAAACAAGTGTCAAAAACATTCCGAAAACAAATGGCTCTTGAAAATAAACATTTTATGTACTTGAAATTGGTTTTTATACTCTGTGCCGATTAAATTACATAATCCTTTAATGTGCGATTCAATAAGAGGGCAACAAAAAGAAACATTTTAATGCACAGTTCACATTAAAATTAGCCCCTTTACCTAAATATTTTATTAAAACTATTTTATTTTTTCGTACTATTTATTTTTAATTCTTCTCCGGGAAATACATACAGTCAATATAGTATGGATTCAAATTCCTTGTGTTTATGCATAGAAATTAACATGTCGATAATAAAACTTCATTTATGAAGTTATCGTCTTGTGAAAAGCTGCATAATGTGACAAACTTTTATACTCCAACAGAAGGGGAAATGTTACAACAAATTCTTCACATTTCCCTTAATTAATTTATTAATTTAGGAAATGTCAAAAAGTTATATTCGTTGAAGTCAAATTGAGAAAAAACTTGGATATATATTAATATTCTGCTGATGGACACTTTCAATTACACTTCTTAATATTAAAGAAATCTATCTTTGCGGTATTTTATAGAAAACCAATTTAGAAAGAACACTGTATTTACTTTTCATCTGGAAATTAAAAAAGATAAACATTTATTAATCGTATACAAACAAACTACTTCAATTGAAGAATACCTTCTTCATCATCTTCCTCGCCTTCTGCATCTTCATCATCAAATAATTCCTCTACAAAAGGGAAATAAAGAAATAAAAATAAGAACACCATGGAAACCCTCAGCTACAACACAAAAATGTACCTTCATTATCCTCATTATCATCTTCATCATCTTCTGGTTCAACCTCAATATCAGGTACTAAATAATACTGAAGAGGATTCGGCCAGAGATCATCTTTGATTAATTCAGCTATCTCGTCATTAACAGGATCAGTGTTGTCTGAGAACCAATCGAAAAATGTCTTGTAGTCCGCAGGTCGTTTCCGCTTATTTTGTTGATACGGCTTTGTCATACATGATCTTATAAGATCTTTACCATCCTTCCATTGAATGGGAGTGCTTGTCGACGATGGACAATCACTGTTTTCCGCGTCTAACAGAAAGATAATAGCAAATTTTTGAAATGTGACGAGTGAACTTTAATATAACACGTACTTCCCGATCCTAAGTGGAACTCTTTAGTAAGCACCTTATTTTCAAAATAAGGATTTTCGTCGAAATAAAAATGGATACGGTACCCCGATTTTATGTCTTCGAATTCTTCTACTTCTAACTTGGTAAGAGCGTGTAGACATTCCTCCTCTTCTTCATCCAAAATGGCAGACACTTGTGGATGGTTAATAAACTTGAGAAATAAAAGTACAAACATTATCAAAATTTACCAATTACAATCTAACTACAATGAAATAATATAAAATGGATACTTGGAAGTCGCTGTACATGCAAACGTAATATGTGGTGAAATATTTGAAATGATTATTAAATTGTTTAATCATATAAAACTAATTTTTTATTTTAATTGAATAGAGAATGACACTAACTTAGTGAAATACAACCTTTGACACAATTTTTCATCAAAGTAGATCGTGCATTAATCTCAGAAAATAAGCAAAAGCGTCAAATAAAATTCGCAAGAGCGAAAATGTGTACACAAAGCGCCACGCCGTTTTATTACTACCAGCAGTCGCACATACAGGTCGATATATCGTTGCCGTACCATATTAGTATGAATACTTTTGTAGATGCCAATAAAAAGGGTAAGGAAAAAACGTGCAAAAGGACCGATTTAGAATACACAATTTTTACGTTTACAGCACACATACAAAAAAATAATTTTACATACTAAGAAACAACTTTTTCTTACAAATGTTAATAATTATTGCTCTTTCGGATCACTTTGACTTTTTGGTTACTAATACAAAATTATAGATTCTTACCGCTGTCACCCAGAAGTTCGGAATTCGTTTCACTAACTCGCTACGTTTCTCGTAGCATGGCTTCCTTAACTTATTGTATTTCTGCTCCACTTTGAGTATTTCCTCGCTAGCCTTTTCATTAAGTGCGTCAATCTCATTTTGACATGCATCAATTAATTCCAAAGCCTCAGACTCTTCCTCATTAGGTGCGTTTGCAGTCGTCGCGTTGCCATCACCATCATTAGACAATTTAGCTTTTTTGCTCGGCAGACTGGACATATCGACAATTAGTTGGTTTAATTAATTTAAGACTTTTCCGCTTTTTATGAAATTTCACTGCACATACAATGGGTACAGTCGTTACGCCGCAACCTTTTTATTCACGAAGAAGCGCAATTTGTAATTCTTCTTTCTTCCCTTTCCACCTCTCTTCTAGAACACCTATTCAGAAAATGCAAAAATGCCGCACAAAACTGTTGCAAAGTGATGATGAGAAATAAATGGCGAATGCCATGAAAGCCGGCAATTCGCATGCAGATGTTGGTAGCACTGTATACATGAGATTGGAACATGAGATACCAACTGTCGCTAATTTCATAATTATTTATAGTTTTCTCATTAAGTTCATACACAATAAATATTCAAAAGAATATGAAACCCAATTTTCAAAACAATTAAACACATTTTTTATACCCTTTAATAAATCGCGGATTCAATATGAAATACAATACCCGCATGTGAATTATATATTTTATTTGTGACGAAGCTACTGCTGTAATTCTGAATTATTTTCTTTCACAACTTTCCTACATAATAGCTATTACTAAAACAGTGAGCGAAGGGATCAAATCCCAGTTTTTATTATAATGTCCAATGAAGGTATGGTTGACTTTTAATAACACTTCTTAGGCGCCTGCTAAACGTTCAATATATATTGTATTTGGATCGCGATACTATAGATTGATAGTACTATATATTCATTATTTATCAAGCTAGAATTTTTTGTGTTTCTGAAAAAAATATTTTAAAAAGTTTTATTACCATATTTGTTGAATTTTTCTACAAAATGTCGTAAGAAACCGGAAAAATAGATGTTTTTAGATTCTGGAGAACTTACCAGAGCTTTGAAAATGAGAATCTTTTATATAAATATAAATAAGTAATACATTAAAAAAAAATGTGGAAAACGGTTGGCCTCAAGGGCCATCCCTGCAACTTCCCGCTAATTTCATACGCTAACGTTCAAATTTCGCTTTTTTCACTGCTTTTGAGCTCTTCGAAATTTTTCGTTTTCAATATCTCGCAAGTAAATCAACCGATTTTGACCCGGTTTGCGGCAAACGATGTGTTTTTTCAAGGTTTAGAACTGATTAGTTTTTGGTGTCGATCGGTCAGGTCGTTTGGAAGAAATTATTTATATTTATTTTTGAGATTTCTCAAAATCTACTGGTCCGATTGGGTCCAAAATCACACGAAATTCAAGTGCAATGAAACCCTTTGGAATGCCGTTTAGTTTATTCAAATCGGTTGAGCCGTTTAAAAGTTATAAGAGGGTCACATACATCCACACACACACACATACATACAGACATACGGACATCATCGTAGAAATGTTCGGGGAAGCTTCCTCGATTTTTGCAAAATGGGGTGAAACCAATATCTTCCCGATTTTTAGAAAATTTTCCATTTTCTTAGCGGGAAGTTAAAAACGCGTGGTTTTTTCAATATTTCATTCCCTTGTATGACAAATATATATCACACAATCTTTTAAACGTTCAAAATTTATCGCTCGCCTCGGATTTTAAATTATTTATATATTTTGTGATATGGATCGTGATTAATGAATATTGCGATCCTGGATCGTAGTTTATAAATGTAATGAGTAGCATTCGCCTAAAATAATTACAAATTTTGACAAATTATGTTTCAAAATACATCCCTACGCTATATATGCTATATTTATCTCTCTCATATAAATCCACTAAATATCTCTTTCGTATCTTTCGTAGAAAGGCGCCGCGTGAAGTTGGCATATTTCTTTACAAGTGACCGATAAATTTTGATGTTTAGACGTAAGCGAGTGTGATTTGAATTACTTCTTGACCGAGTGAATTATTAATATAAAAATATAAAAATGTCTACGACAGAAGCACAAATAGGTGTGAATACAAACTTACAAAAACAGGATCTTGGTAACTTGGTAAGTGCCCAAATTATTTGAGAAAGCTGGACTGTTTCATAGAATGAGTAAAAGAAAAAACCCATTTTAAGATTTGACAGAGGACAACGCGGCATATGTCAATTATATCAAACGAATACTGGTTTTATAATTTCGTTCATGAAAATATACCTCTGTATGAGCTATATCGGAATTATTTTCCGAAGTCCCGATTATCATAAATTAGTGCGGTTGAAACAAAAAGGTCACTTCGTTTTGCTCATATTCACGACTTTGCTTGATGCAGAAAACTATTCCCTGCATATGAAAGCCTGTCGATAAAATTAAGAGAATCACTGCACGTGGCGTATGAAACCGAATAGAATTTTTGTGAATATACACAAAATATTTATTAAAATGTATATAGCGTAATTAAGAATAATTTGAGTAAACATGCATTCGCCGACAGTTGTTGATAGGTCAATAAATCATATATTTCTGATGCAATATGAGGATTCTAACCTCATTTCAGCATAGCAGTTCATTTCTTGCAAAAGGTACATAAATGAATTTTCTGAATGATATGTTGGAGAATATTCAATTATTTTTGTTTTTAAATGTATAGCTTACACATTATGTATTTACAGGATTTAGGAAATTTAACTCCACTATCTCCAGAAGTGATTTCACGTCAGGCTACAATTAATATCGGTACAATTGGACATGTAGCCCACGGAAAATCAACCGTAGTTAAAGCTATTTCCGGAGTACAAACTGTTCGCTTTAAAAATGAGCTGGAGAGAAACATTACTATTAAGCTCGGTATGTATTATCAGTTTATCAGTTCGAGAAATAATTTTTTTTAGCTCATATAGTATATTAGGAAGTTTTCAAAATTTGTTTAGATATGTATATTAATAATGAAGCAACAGTAAAAAAGTACTGAGTATTCTTTTTTTTATTTAAAACCGCATAGTGATTTAGTTATATTTATCATTAATGGCAATCCAGAAATATCGCAAACAAGTAAGAAAGTGCTTTTAGTAATCACGAGTACTTTTAAATGTGTTATTGGAATAAAATACTGTGTATTTAGCATTAACATTTTCAATTGTATATACATACATATATATGTGCCGCGTAACTTATGTATGTATGTATATACCCACATATAATTGAAAAAAAAATTGTCCTAGGAAATTTGTAAAATATAAAGAGAAGTAATCGAATGAAGCTGTTCCTTAAAATAATGCCTTTTGGAACTCTGCCACAATCCTTTGATCAAGTATAACATTGATGCAATATAAATATTAAAATATATTCTAAATCTGTTTAGAAATAGAGATTTGTTTGAATTTTGTGATTTTATTTATTTGATCTTTCGAACAAACTTGACACTATATTCTTAAATATCTATTGTATCCAAAAATTCAAAGCAAATAAAACTCATTTATTTCGTTTAGTAAATAAGTCTATTTATTAGATTGGTCGCCGTAAGTGGATTCATACAGTTCTTCTTTATTTTTGTGTATGCAGTAAGCTAATAAATAAAGGTTAAAAATACAAAAAGTGCCAAAGGAATTCCATTTAAAGTTTTAAATTAATTGAATTAGTTGCTGGAAAATTTTCAGCTCTTCAAATAAAAATTGAGTATTTAGCAATGAAAAGAAATATGTGCATAGTATTTCTTAAGGAGATAATAATACTTGTAGGATTTTTTGGTAGATCGGCATTTGTTGATGGACATTACAATTAATATTTTTTTTATAATGTACAAAAAGTGCTCTATTAAATAGCAGTATTGAAGTTTTGTCTTGTTTTGAGCACGTAAATTCTATATATTAAAATTCAATATGCTGAATAGCAGAGTCAGGCACATTCATTTAATTTCTGTTTTCTTCTGTTTTTCTTTGACTTTTATTTTCACTTTAAATGGAATTCCATGCGTGCATCTGAACTCGAATTTATAACTTCACAATCGATACTCGTTGCTGGATATTTGCATTCTTCAGAACGCCTGAGTGAAGAAAAACTTCGCGCTTTAATGAGTTCGCCAAAATTGCTGTGCGATTTTGAAGCGAAATTAGAAGAAAAACGACGTAATACTTTGGTGGTTGGTCATGAACAGCCGACACTCCGATTCCGCAATCATAAACAACGCAGTGTCAGCGTAGATACTCAGCTAACTAGTACATCAGCACGCAGCAGCAGTCTTGGCGAAATTCAACCAACTCGTGGCAGCTCGACAAGCCCTAGCAGCGGTTATGATAGTCATTCTGAATGTGGTACATCTATTCATGGTGATCAAAAGCGCAGGTCTAGTACGCCGCGTTCACGTGTCTTCACCAGTGCAATCAACGGAATAACGTATTCACCAACAGTGGCTAAAAAACGAAATAAACCCGAGTCGAACAACAATTTAGTGGAGTCTGAGAGTGAACAGATATCTATTAACAAGCGAAAAAAGCTAAAACAATTCAAAGTGAATGAAGAATATATTGTAGAACGCATAGAATCAATTGAGTCGATCAATGGAAACCCAATATTTTTCGTCAAGTGGTTTGGCTATCCTCCTGAAACGAATACGTGGGAGTCCCTCAACAACATTTGTGAATGTACACTGTTTGAGCCATTCATTGAATCACGTTATACACTACATGAATTCATTATTTCAAAAATAATAACTGAAATTGAATTGGAAATTGGTGATAACGGCCTAGTTTTTGATATGAGCAACTTACAAATAGAAGAATTGGATAAGTATGATCCTCTGGCATTGAAGGCCGACTTAATATTATTGGCGCAATTCCGTGCATGCCGATCTCGTAGTCTACGCGAACCGGAAAAGATTCGTAAACGAGTTATTGATATGATGCTTTTGAAGCCTGTGTATTACCGCCGGAAACAGCAACAAAATGAGCTGCAATCATTTCAAGAGCGCATGAATCTAATAGAAAAGATGGCACCGATAACGGTAGAGAATCACGTCGATTTGGAAGTCATTGATTCAGCTTTTAACTACATTAAAAATAGTTTTGCTGGGGTAAATGTGAAAATCCAAGAAGATCCACCCATAGGTTGTAAATGCGAAAACGATTGCGCACCATTGTCATCGTGCTGTGCGCGCATGGCGGATAGTTATTTTGCTTATGATAAGAGCGGCCGTTTACGTATCAGACCTGGAGAAGCCATTTATGAATGTAATAATAAGTGCATGTGCGACGAGAAATGTGTGAATCGCGTTATACAGCGTGGACGCAATAACAACCTTTGCATATTTCGCACATCCAATGGTTGTGGTTGGGGTGTACGAACCGAGAAACCTTTGCGTAAGGGAGAATACGTTTGCGAATATGTGGGTGAGATAATTACCAGCGAAGAGGCAAATGATCGTGGTCTAACATACGACGCCATTGGACGCACTTACCTCTTCGATTTAGATTACAATACCTCAGGAGAGAGTGTGTATACAATTGATGCGGCGCTCTATGGCAATATATCGCATTTTATAAACCACTCATGTAATCCAAATTTAGCGGTATTTCCTTTCTGGATTAATAATCTGGATATCAACATGCCACGTTTAGCGTTTTTCTCTCTTCGTCCAATAAAAGCTGGAGAGGAATTGACTTTCGATTATGTGCGCACAGACTATGAAAATTTGTCAGCAGCAGAGAAGGTGTCTTGCCGTTGTGGTGCAGAAAACTGCCGCAAAGTATTGTTTTAATTATATATTTAACAAAATGACAAAAACTAAAGTATATTTCTATAAAAAAGTAGAAGCAAGAATAAATCTTGCATATAACAGAAAAAGCTGAAATTCGGCTTATGATCTTAATTTCTAACGGAGTTATTTTATATTATATTCAGTCTAATTCTTATAAAAATTAATTTGAAGAAAAATCATACATTGAGGATATTTCGAATAGATTTCATAATGTTCTATATATAAGTATTATATCATAAAATTTAATTCTCACT